CTCTTGTTACCCAGGCTGGAGTGCAATGGCGCGATCTCGGCTCACCGCAACCTCCGCCTTCTGGGTTCAGGCAATTCTCCTGCCTCAGCCTCCTGAGTAGCTGGGATTACAGGCACGCGCCACCATGCCTAGCTAATTTTTTGTATTTTTAGCAGAGACGGGGTTTCACCGTGTTGACCAGGATGGTCTCGATCTCTTGACCTCGTGATCCACCCGCCTCAGCCTCCCAAAGTGCTGGGATTACAGGCTTGAGCCACCGCGCCCGGCCCTAAGTCATACCATTTTTATTTGAAATCAAGGAAAACAGGAAGAGCAAAAATACATGTTTGTAAAAAACAAAACAAAACAAAAAGACAAAAAAACTCACACACATACACACGACAAACACCAACAAGCAAATAAGAAAAAAAAGAAAACTATATGTGCAACACTAAAAATATTTGAAAATTAAAATTTGAAGCCTACGTGATTTCCTAGCCAACACGTGATACAGCAATTGCCTCAAGTAAAGGCAGGAAACTTGAATCAACTAATTGGTATAGAAGAGATTTTAAAAAGGGATTCAAGATCTAGCATTTACAAAGGCAACAGGATCAAATGTGTTTATATCTAAATTGTAGCAAAACTTTAAAGTAAGTAATTGCAGGATTATTTAAGCTATCCCAGACCTTAGAAAAAACAGAGAGCAGAAAATTTTAATATCAACCCAATAAAGAGAGTGTCAAAAAATAATATATGTTACCTAATAAGGTTTATTCCAATAGTGCAATCTCAGAAAGACTAATAACCTAATTGTTATTCTTTTTAATTTAAAATCATGTCAAAGTCATAGAACAATACAAAGTAAAAGTATAAGAACAATACAAAGAATACCTGTATGCCCTTCACCCAGAGACACTATTCAAGTTTTGTCAACTGTCCCAGTAATGTTCTTTATATAGGAAAAGGATCCAACCCAGCATCCGGTAATGTACCTAGCTTTGTCTCTGTAGCCTCTTTTAATCTGGAACGGCTCATCATTCTTCAGCCTTTCCTCCAGTCTCATGACCTTAAGATTTTTCTTTTTTGTTTGAGAACAGAGTCTCACTCTGTCGCCCAGGCTGGAGTTCAGTGCATGATCTTGGCTCACTGCAACCTCCGCCTCCAGGTTTCTGCAATTCTCCTGCCTCAGCCTTCCAAGTAGCTGGGACTACAGGCTTGCGCCACCATGCCCGGCTAATTTTTGTATTTTTAGTAGAGACGGCATTTCACCATGTTGGCAAGGATGGTCTCGATCTCCTGACCTCGTGATCTGCCCGCCTTGGCCTCCCAAAGTGCTGGAATTACATGTGTGAGCCATCCTGCCCGGCCTGTCCTTATCGCATGCCCTTATTTTGTAGGACTTCCCCAATTGCAGCTTGTCTGATTCGTCTTCACATTGCAGTAAGATTGTGTATCTTCAGCAGGAACTGCAAAGAAGTGAGGTGTTAAGGTTGCATCCCCTTGGGTCACACGTGATGTTGATTGCCCCATGCCTGATAAAGCATGCTCACTTCATTAAGGTGGCATCTGCTAGGTTTCTCCATTATAAAATTTCTTTTTCCCTTTGCAATTAGTAAGTATTTTTGTAGGCTGATTGTTGGAAATAGATGCTCGGTGCCACAAAGAAAAATTAGCATTGAGACAAAAGATCTTTCAGCAATGTAATTTTTACTTCCTGGGCTGCATGAACAGTACCTTCGCTAGCCATCCTGCTACAAGAATACAATGAACAAAGGAAAACACACACATTTATTCCTTACGCATTTGGAGTCACCCTTTCTGCTATGTCTGATCTCCATTGGCTGGAGTCAGACCTCACAATCTAAACTAAAACCCGACTGGCTAACGACTGAAAACTTTTCTGAACAGGTAAAAAACAATGGAGAGCTGAGACATGCCTGTGAACACATCCAGCACAGATATCTTGGTTAAAGTACAAGGACATAGAGTGTACTAAGTGCCTGTAAGCATGGCATGTCTAACAGCTGCATAGGATACAGGTATTGATCGACTTACGACCTATGCAACTTACGACCATTCGACTTTACGATCACAATCGCTAGCCACGACTGCTCCGCGTCTGGCAGCGCAACCGTTGCCCAGCTGGGCGTAGGACAGTGCGGACCAGCTTCCGACAGCACTACCATCTCCGCGTGCACCATTGCAACTGTTATCCCAGACTCGGTACAGCAATTTGTGTTTTGTGTCTTGGATATTTTTCATCAAACCCCTCCCAATAAACTTCTTATACATTTAGAAGCGATGGACCCAAACATCGAACGATTTGCAAGGATTGAACAGATGGCGCACGATGTGTTTCGTCTGTATCGTTAAATTTATGAAGAAAAAAAGAAACATACAATTCAGACAAAGCTCACTATGTTTATGAAAAAACCAACTCCGGTAACCCCAACTGCTGCCTCAGATGACGACATCAACGATCCACCAGCGGCCAATACAATGTTTCATACATGTTTACATATTTTGATATGTTTTGCAATTGGGAAAATGTTTCCTATGGTATTTTTTACACCTGTATTTTGTATTTTTGTATGCACCTGTATTTTGTAATTTTGTGTGTTTTGCAAATATTAAACCAGTTGTACTGGTAATGCAGTATTTTACTTAAACCTGACGAATGTAAAAATAAGAAACAAAATGGTGTAGAGATGATACAAATGGCATAAAATGAACTAAGAAAATTATGATATATAACAATAATGAAAGAAAATTATAATAAAATATGACTAAAAGATTTTTATCACATCATTTCACAGTACTGTACATATAGCCTACTCAACTTACGATCAAATCGTGTTACGACCGGTCTGTCAGAACCAATCGTGGTTGTAAGTCGAGCACTAGCCGTAGTGCTTAACAAAGTTATTGGCACACTTACTCTTTAACAAGAAAGGAGACTTTAAAAAGGAACTTTTCTACTTCCCACACTGATACTTTGGCATTAGTAAATATGCTGTCCCTGTCCAACTTTCACTCACTAGTTTCTTGTGACTTTTGCCTAAATTCATTATTACTATAATGGTTATTAAATGGAGATTTCCAATTCCATAATTTCTTCTACATTTGTTGGTTGACATTCTACCATAAGGAAGAATGTTCTCTTCTGATTTATTTATTTATATCTTATTTAATGAGTTACTTTTCCATCATTATTATTACTGTTTTTGAGATGGAGTCTCACTCTGACACCAGGCTGGAGTGCAGTGGCAAAATCTCTTCTCACTGCAACCTCGGCCTCCCGATGCAAGTGATTCTTCTGCCTCAGCCTCCTGAGTAGTTGGGACTAAAAGTGCCCACCACCACACCCTGCTAATTTTTGTATTTTTTTTTAGTAGAGACGGGGTTTCATCATGTTGGTCAGGATGGTCTTGATTTCTTGGCCTTGTGATTCGTCCGCCTTGGCCTCCCAAAGTGCTGGGATTACAGGCGTGAGCCACCGTGCCTGGCCCTTTTCCATTATGATTTATTTTGATGATCAAACTGTTCCATATTTTGGCCAGTGGAGCCCCTACAGACTTTGTTTCTATGTCCTTTTGATAGATCCCTGTTTTCCTGTGATCATATCCTTATTTTCTGTTACAGCAAGATGTTTTCTAAACAAGTTTTCTTTTTTTTTTTTTTTTTTTTTTTTTTATCAGAGACAGAGTCTTGCTCTTTCACCCAGGCTGGCTGCAGTGGCATGATCTTGGCTCAGGGCAAACTCTGCATCCCGGTTCAAGCAATTATCCTGCCTCAGCTCCTGAGTAGCTGGGATTACAGGCATTTGCCATTTTAATATTTTTGTATTTTTAGTAGAGATGGGGTTTAACCATGTTGGTCAGGCTGGTCTCAAACTGCTGACCTTGTGATTCACCCACCTCACCTTCCCAAAGTGCTGGGATTACAGGTGTGAGAAACTGCACCCTGCCTCTAAGTACATTTCCTAAGAAAACAAGATCTGGGTCTGAGGTGTGCCTATTGCTATTAAAATATCACTGTTCCCAGGCTAAGCGGACACAATTATGGAAGTTGAAATCACAATGAGATACTACTTCAGACTCACTAGAATGACTGTAATAAGTAAAGACAGGTCATACAAGTTGTTAGAAAGGATAGGAAGAAACTGGAATCCTCATACATTGCTGAGGGGAATATAAATGGTACAGTTACTTTAGAAGACCATTTGGCAGTATCCATAAAGATTAAACATAGAGGCTGGGCACGCTGGCTCACGCCTGTAATCCCAGCACTTTGGAATGCCGAGGCAGGCAGATCATGAGGTCAAGAGATGGAGACCATCCTGGCCAACATGGTGAAACCCCATCTCTACCAAAAATACAAAAAAATTAGCCGGGCATGGTGGCAGGCGCCTGTGGTCCCAGCTATTGGGGAGGCTGAGGTGGAAGAATCACTTGAACCTAGGAGGTGGAGGTTGCAGTGAGCCGAGATTGCACCACTGCACTCCAGCCTGCTGACAGAGCAAGATTCTGTCTCAAAAAAAAAAAAAAAAAAAAAGGATTAAACATAGAGTAACTATATAACTCATCAATTCCACTCCTAGGTATATATCTAAAAGAACTGAAAACACGTCCACACAAAAACTTGCATATGAATGTTCATAGCAGCATTACTGATAACACCGAAAAAGTAGATCAAATGTCCATCAACTGAAGAGTGAATAAGCACAGTATGGTATATACATACAATGGAACATAATTAGGCAATGAAAATGAATGAAATTCTGTAGTGGTTTGAATAGTAGTTCCCACAAAGATTGTCCATGTCTTAATTTCTGGAACCTGTGAATGTGACTTTATTTGAAAAAGGTTCTTTGGCTGCGCGTGGTGGCTCACGCCTGTAATCCCAGCACTTGGGAAGGCCGATGCAGGTGGAACACCTGAGGTCAGGAGTTCGAGACAAGCCTGGCCAATGTGGTGAAATCCCATCTCCACTAAAAATACAAAAATTAGCCGGATGAGGTGGCGGGCGCCTGGAATCCAAGCTAGTTGGGAGGCTGAGGCAGGAGAATCATTTGAACCCAGGAGGCAGAAGTTGCAGTGAGCCAAGATGATGCCATTTCACTCCAGCCTGGGTGACAAGAGCAAAACTCTGTCTCAAAAAAGCAAAAGATGGATTGTGGTGATGGATATATAATTATAGAAATTTACTAAAATACTTAGTTGTATGTTTACATTGGAATATTTTATATCATGTACAGTATAATCTCAATAAAATTATTAAGAATAAAAACAAAAAATATAGAAATAAATTTGACAAGGAATGTAAAACACTTGTAAAAAAGAAAATTAAAATGATTTTTTTCCTTCTATGGATATGGGAAGCATTCTTCACTAAGATGAGAAGTCTTTAAGTTATATTTCTCTACCTATGCATAGATATAGAGTTATACATAACATTTAAAAATATATGGGCAAAGATACCATAAATAAGATCAACTGAGAAAATAACATACTTGAGGAAAATTTTGATCAGATGACAAAACATGAATATTTCTAGTAATAGAAAGTAATCTTATATATTAACAAGGAATGGCAAATAATCTGGTAGAAAAAGAGCCGAAACATGATGAGCAAAGACAAATGATGAATAAGTATATTTTTAAAGTGCATAAACTGAATCGTGATGAGAGAATGTGAATTCATTAACAATGAGGTGTCACTTTCTACTCCATCAAAGCAGGAAAATTACAGACAAATAATACCTACTGTTCATGGGAATAACACCAGGGAAGAAGAATAACTTCATGTATTAATATTATTTGTAGAACACTATGAAATGTTATTAGCCAATTTGAAAAGCAATCTTGTAATGTGTGTTACTATGATATATGAATTATATATACTTTATAATATAATTATAGTTTTGACCTACTCTTAGGTGTTAATTTTGTTGAAATTAAGGATCAGAACATATGATGTATGTATGGGATGCTTATTTTATTGTATGTAAAGGCAGCAAATTGGGAGGGAAATAAATGCACCTCAATAAAGGAGTTGGACAAATAAGTCACACTATATTCACAACCATTGGCTGTCCGGTTATTAAAAAAGAGATGGAGAATTAGGGGCATATCAGTTGATTATGGAATTTCTACCAGGTATTGCTAGATGAGAAAGGCAAGTTGCAGACAAATGTGTAAATTTTTAAAAGTTAAGGGTTTATATGTATATACTTATAAATGTAGGTGCATCCTTGTGTGCATATGTGTATGTATACTGCATCTTTCCATTATAAAACTTCCATTTCCTTTTCTAATTAATAAGTAATCTGACAGCTGGGCGCTGTGGCTTATGCCTGTAATCCTAGCACTTTGGGAGGCTGAGGCGGCCAGATCCCTTGAGGTCAGGAGTTCGAGACCAGCCTGGCCATCATGGTGAAACCCCATCTCTACTAAAAAAGATACAAAAATCAGCTAGGTGTGGTGGTGTGCACCTGTAATCCCAACTACTCCAGAGGCTGAGGCAGGAGAATCGCTTGAACCTGGAGGAGAGGCAGAGGTTGCAGTGAGCTAAGATCTTGCTACTGCACTCTAGCCTGGGTGACACAATGAGACTCCGTCTCAAACAAAACAAAACAAAACAAGACAGAACAAAACAAAACAAGACAGAACAAAACAAAAGAAGTAATCTATTGGATGCTTCCATGAAGTTGAATGAATGTCCTGTTCCCTAACTACTTTTCATCAAGTGGGTTTTGTATCCATTGACAACCTTTGCCTACATCAATTATTACATTGGTAGTTACAAATGAATCTTATTTATTGTTTAAAATAAACTTCATTAAAATACATTGAGTCATTTTGTTGCATAGCAGGTTTAGAAGGCTGAATGATCTAAGCAATGGCTTCCTTTAACTTGGCCTGGGTAGACTAAAAATAAAGAGGCCGATCATGTTTGTTCATTTGCCGACCAAACTCAATACAGCTGACATTTTCTGTCTTTTTTTCTTAGACTATTGGACACTTCCAGAAAAAATTATAACATAGCCAATGATACACACAAATCATACTTTTGATTTTGGCATCTGCATCACAGTATCGATAAGTAAAACTTACCAGAATAAAATTATTATCTAGTCTATGATTTTACATTTTACAGTTGCGTTTGTAGGTTTCTGCCAAAGGTTGGTTCAATGATATTACCCACAAGTAGTATTTTTCTGAATATGACATTAAAAGTCTGTCTCCATAAATTAGGAAATTTCATAATACTGCATGTTTTTTACTGTCTTTTTTATGTTCAATACTTAGATTCTTTGAAAATTAACTAAACTCTTCTGACTACAAGTGACTAGCACCGTGTTAATTTTTCTCAGTTCAAACTGCATCATTGAAAATCATTTTTTAGGAAAATCAACAGGCACATGAGAGAGAGTTAAGGCTTGTTCAAATAAGGTTTGTGTTTTGTCTTCTCTTAAAGATTTAACTAAAAAGAATCAAGTGAGATAACTTTTTGCTTGGAAAGAGAAGAATAGCACCTAATCCCCATGCTGTACTATTGCAAATGGTTACTTTTAAAGTAATGTAGAAACTCTTAGCACAATCTAGACTTCTTAGTAGTTTATCAAAAAACATAAAACTAAAAAGTAAAAGCTTTAATTAGAAAGTTTCACACGCTTTAATCTCTTTAGAAACACTAAGATATATCACTGAGGAATTAAGTGTGTGGCTATTTTAACGTCATGAAAAAAAATCTTTGATATTTTTCTCCTTTGAACCAAAGGTGATATGAGGTTCATAAAGTTACATAAAGCAGGCCAGGCATGGTGGCTCAGACCTTTAATCCCAGCACTTTAGGAGGCCGAAGCGGGTGGATCACCTGAGGTCAGGAGCTCAAGACCAGCCTGGTCAACATGGTGAAACCCTGTCGCTACTAAATAAACAAAAATTAGCTTAGAATAGTGTCATGGTAACCACTACCTAAGTGACTGCTTCTTTTATTTTATTTTTTTTTTTATTTTTATTTTTTTTGAGACGGAGTTTCGCTCTTGTTACCTACGCTGGAGTGCAATGGCGCGATCTTGGCTCACCACAACCTCCGCCTCCTGGGTTCAGGCAATTCTCCTGCCTCAGCCTCCTGAGTAGCTGGGATTACAGGCACGCGCCACCATGCCCAGCTAATGTTTTGTATTTTTAGTAGAGACGGGGTTTCACCATGTTGACCAGGATGGTCTCGATCTCTTGACCTCGTGATCCACCCGCCTCGGCCTCCCAAAGTGCTGGGATTACAGGCGTGAGCCACCGTGCCCGGCCGTGACTGCTTCTTTTAAATCTTTGCTGATTCTTTCCATTCCTCCTGATCTCTAAATGTTGGGGATCTCCAAAATTCTACTCTGAGACTCTTCTGTATATTCCCTGAGTGGTTTTTATTTAGTCCTTTGGCTTCAACTGTAACTGGCATTTCCAAATGTATATTCTCAGCTCTCCTTTTCCCCTGAACTCCAGTCTCATGTCAAATACCTATTTGACAACCCTACTTAGAATAAAATTCAAATGCCAGCTGAGTGCAGTGATTCACACCTGTAATCCCAGCACTTTGGGAGGCCGAGGTGGGCAGATCACTTGAGGTCAGGAATTCGAGACCAGCCTGGTCAACATGACAAAACCCCATCTCTGCTAAGAATACACAAATCAGCTGGGCATGGTGGTGTGCCTGTAATCCCAGCTACTTGGGATGCTGAGGCAGGAGAATCACTTAAACTCAGAGAGCAGACGTTGCAGTGATCTGAGATTGCCCCACTGCAACTCCAGCCTGGGTGACAGAGTGAGACTCCGTCTCAAAATAAATGAATGAACAAATAAATAAAATCCAAATGCCAATCTTTCCTTTGCTCACGCTGAGACTCCAATATTTGCACGAGGACATACATTGGCAAGCGTGTTTGGAATCAAGATCTGTGACAAATGAGGTGGAAGGAAAAAATATTGAGAAGCAGAAGTTGCACTGTTGATGCAATTACAGCAGAGACCTCAGCTCCTCCTACACAGAGTTCTGGAGCTGGGATGGACCCTCAGAGTGGTTCCTGTTGAGGCAAGAGAGATCTGTGCCACTGTATGAACCAATTACTGGATATATGCTACCCCTAGAAAGGGCCAAAACCCTGGGCAAAGCAGCTTCCTCCTACCAAGCCCAAGCCCTGGAGAGGACACAGCTGTGAGCACTCAACAGTCAACATTCATGCCAGCTGGGGGAATGAATTCCTCATCCCTAAAGGGGGAACCGGATGTCACAGCATAGCTTCTACAATCACCCTGTATCTGGTAGTATCTCATCCTCATCGCCTTCCTTCTCTTAAATAGCTTTATTTTTTTCCCCGCAAAGTATATACCATGTGTTTTACTGATTTGTTCACCTTGCATCCCTAATAGACTATTACACCACAAAAGCAGAAACTTTTTTCTTTCTTCTTTAATCCAGTATTCCCAGTGTCTAGAAACAGTGCCCAGGCCATAATGGTTGTTCAATAAATATTCAGTGAGTAAGCAGATGTACTACATGCTTACTAAATGACAGGAACTATGCTATGTTTAGAGAATCCAGACGTGAACAAGACAGACGCGGTCACTCCGCTCATGAGGCTTCTGATTAACTAGAAATCATATATACATATATCACATCTTTAAAATATGCATACATATGCTATACTTTAAAAAGCGTAATTACATCAAAGGCTGTTACTTAGAATTTTACTAATCTACCTAAATTCAGCACATCTGATGGTGTATCATACAAACATTTTTACTGAATGACAGAATCAGAAAACTGTAAAACACTAGAGACTTTAGTTAGAGAGTTATTTATTGTTTCTGCTTATTTTTTGGAAAGAAAAGTTACATCACTGAGACACATGTCTTTCGTCAGTCTAGGAGGATTAAATAAAGGACAATATAAGAGAAGGACTAACTAAAAAAAAAAAAATGGAATACTTAACTGGGATTTTATTAACCAACATTCTGTTCTCCAAAATGTTGGAGAACAAGGCTATAATTGTATCTAAATAGATAAAGGATAAGATGCTTTGTAATGAGTGGATAATTTATAATTACTTTACACATACAAATATAATTTTTCCATTACTTTAGTTTCAGTGACAGTTAAAATG